TTTCGTTCTTGAATTGGGCTGAGATTGAGAAGTGTTTAAGATTATTGCGTCGAATTATGGAGTTGTTTTGAGTTAGGTTCTTAGGTACATTTACTGGTATCTGAATCTAAATAGAATTTGGGAAAAAGAACCAAGTTTACGTGAATTGTGGCTGGAAAACGAAGAAGGAAAAAGTTGGGTGAATCTAGGTACCAGGTCCGCGTCGCGGACCATGAGTGTCGAATTTGATGCTCTTGTTACTTTATCCTTTCATCTGTTTTTATACTCAAAACACAGATCCTTATTGTCTATTTCTGCGTTAGTTTAATCACGGATTTCATCCATACAGATGTAACTGTAAAATATTGGAGCACGTGCACTATATAATATTTCCTCTATTTTAATTTGATATATTATTTAAGAAACACATGAGGATTTTAAAATCTTGTGGTTTAAACATGTCATATGTAAATTGAAATCAAATAGTTTCCAAAAAGAAAAAATGAATCCTTTTTAAAAATAACTAAAACGGAAAGTAAGACAAACAAATTGAAATAGAGAGATTACCAAATAGGAAAACATTAGTGTTAACTGTGTTTTTAATTTTCCAAGTTGCTAACAAATACAGTGGATTTTGTGAAGTTACTAGTTTTCGAACATGTGCATTGCAAATGTATCTTTTGCTAATTAGTATTAACATTTTAAAATGATATAAACAACATTGAAGTATGTATGTGATGAGAACCCTTAGAAAAAAATACAAGGACGAATTGATGAATGATTAACCTATTGGATTGATATTTATCGCCATCGTTGTAGATAATAAAATTTGCGTCGAGAAAAACAATAATCAAGAACGATAAATTATGCAACAATCATTTTATTGATTTAAAGTGTGAGTGTTATAATCTCTATGATTCCTCTTAATTCACTTTTTCAAATATAAATTCAAGGGCTCTTGAGCTTAATCTTGAATTTGTCTTGAACTTGATCTTGGATTCAAGGGCTTTAAAGCTTGTTCGTGAATCTATGATGAACTTGAACTTAAACTTTATCTTGATCTTGATTCTTACTTGAATTCAAGGGATTCGAGCTTGTTCTTGAATTCGATGGTCTTGATCTTGATCATTCTTGAACTTGAATGCTTGAATTCTTAAACTTGTTGCTTATAGAGAATTTTATGGCGTTTGTACCACAAACTTTCTCTAGCTTCTTGTTTAGAATTTTCGGTCCCCTTTCTGAATTATGAGGACCCTAATTATAGTTTTAGAATAGCGAAGTTGTGATTGGAACAGGATTCCCTTCGGCTAATCAAATTTAAGTGAGATGGCATATGAGCTTTATGGAGCGGGCTTGTCATCTTTGACACATGTCATGATCCTATTGACTTCTTGTTTGACTTGGCATGCCACGTCATTCGCCATGTGGCACCAAAAAAATGGGCAATTGGACTTAGCAAATTGGGCGCATCTATTGTAGCCCAAATCAATTAATTTTTACTTTAATTAAATCCATATTTATTGGATTTGAATAATTAGCCCCATTATATCAATCCATAATTTATTTGGACTAATATATTCATGAATTTAACATAATCCGAATCATTTTATATATTTATATTTAATAAATTTTAAATGATTATAAATGCCCCATGTTTCAAGTCTTGTCAAACTATCTCATCTTTTGAAGACTAGACTTGAAGCATTTTTAATTAAATAATAATTAGTTACCGGGCACACACTAGAGTGTATAATTTAGTATACCACTTTAATATATAAAATTAAAGTAATATAATTAAGTGGGAAGAGATACAATCCCACGAGGATAATTTGCCACCTCTGACCAATTAGAATTAAGAATAGAAACAAGTAAATACTTGTTACAAAACCAAGCAGAAACCAATTAGAACCCAGAAGTAATGTTTTCCGTTAGTTTTCAATTGTTCCAATTTAGTCGAAAGGAGGTATTATTAGTTTAGGAGAAGGACTCCATATCAATGCTATTGAGCATCTATAGTCGAAGGTTTCGGAAGATCTTCAAACAACCAAAAGTTTCAGATTGGTGCGATGACACCAAAAAAATTGTATCTCGAGAGAGAAGCATCGAAACTGCGATCCGCTCGATTCTAAAGAAACTAGACACAGAAGGCCACAACGTATCCATAATTTAGGAGTAAACGTCTTAAATATTTTTCTAGACAATATTTTGTAGTTAACTTTAAATTCTGTCACATAGTTGATTGCAGATTTTTGTTGCCTCACAAAATATTGTATATCTTGATGTTCGAACGTCATCACCAAGAAAGTTTGTGATCGCTGGAAACTATACTTCAAGAGTTTTATTATTACCAAGAAAATATTGTCTCAAGTCTAACCTGGTTAGCTTAGCATATCTTCCAAGTCTCAAACGTCTTGACAAGTAACAATCTCTCCTTTACTTGTATTATATTTGTATTGTCTCTTTTTTTTTTGTGTTTTTTTTTGTAGATCAACATAAGAAATATATGTATTTATTTCAAAAGCTACACAATGGAAAGCTTTATCACACAAGAATTTGATCTTGAGGTGTGAAGGGATGTGTTTAACGTCCCCGCCTTGAGATAAACAACAAAAGCAATATTTGCATTTTGCGGAGGCTACACAATGGAGAGTTTTATCACACTAGAATTTGATATTGAGGTGTGAAGGGATGTGTTGAACGTCTTCGCCTTGAGATCAACAACATAATAAATGTTTGTTTCTTGTAGAGGCTACACAATGGGAGCTTTATCACACAATAATTTGATCTTGAGGTGTGAAGCAATGTGTTTAACGTCCCCGCCTTGAGATCAAAAACATAAGAAATATTTGTATTTTACAGAGGCTACACAATGGAGAACTTTATCACACAAGAATTTAATCTTGAGGTGTGAAGGGATGTGTTTAACGTCACCGCCTTGAGATCAACAACATAAGCAATATTTGTTTCTTGCTGAGGCTACACAATGGAGAGCTTTATCACACAAAAATTTGATCTTGAGCTGTGAAGGGATGTGTTTAAAATCCCCGCCTTGAGATCAACAACATAAGCAATATTTGTATCTTGCGGAGGCTACACAATGGAGAGTTTTGTCTCACACAAGAGTTTGATCTTGAGGTATGAAAGGATGTTTTGAACATTCTAGATGCCTTGAGATCACTAACTTAAGGCTTTATAATATTCCGAATACTACACAAGAATTTCATCTTGAGGTGTGTAAGGATGTGTTGAACATCCCCACCTTGAGATCAACAACTTGAGGCTTTATAAGATCCCGAATACTACACGAGAATTTGATCTTGAGGTGTCTAAGAATGTGTTGAACATCCCCACATTGATACCAACAACTTGAGGCTTTATAAGATCCTGAATACTACACAAGAATTTGATCTTGAGATGTGTAAGGATGTGTTGAACATCCCCACCTTGAGATCACTAACTTGAGACTTTATAAGATCTATTTAAGGATAAATCTGTGAAAAGGTCAGTTTAAGGTGCAAAGGGACAAATTTTGTCCACCTTAAGGCATGAAAATTTAAAGATCCTTTTAAGGATGAACCCGTGAAAAGGCAAGCTCAAGGTGCAAAGGGATAAATATCGTCCATCTTGAGGCATGGAAATTTAATAATCCATTTAAGGATAAATCTATTAAATGGCCAGCTTAAGGTGAAAAGGGACAAATTTGTCCACCTTAAGGCATTGAAATTCAAAGATCCATTTAAAATTAATCTGCGAAAAGGCTAGCTTAAGGTGCGATGGGATAAATATTGTCCACCTTAATGCATGGAAATTTAATGATACATTTAAGGATAAATCTGTGAAATGGCTAGCTTAAGGTGCAAAGGGACAAATATGTCCACCTTAAGGCATGAAAATTTAAAGACCCATTTAAGGATAAATCCGCGAAAAGGCTAGCTTAAGGTGCAAAGGGACAAACCTCATCCACCTTAAGGCATGGGAATTTAATGATCCATTTAAGGATTAATCCGTGAAAAGGCCAACTAAAGGGGCAAAAGGACAAATATATCCACCTTAAGGCATGAAAATTCGACAACATACACATTTGGAGGATTTGAAGACTTCTACTTAAATACTTGAAGGATTTGAAGACTTCAACTTGCATACTTGGAGGATTTGAAGACTTCTACTTACATACTTCAAGAATTTGAAGACTTCAACTTGCATACTTGAAGGATTTGAAGACTTCAACTTGCATACGTAGAGGATTTGAAGACTTCAACTTGCATATTTGGAGGATTTGAAGACTTCAACTTGAAAACTTGAGGGCTTCAACTTGCAAACTCGAAGAATTTACAGCTTCAACTTGCATACTTGGAAGATTTGAAGACTTCTACTTGCATAATTGAAGAATTTGAAGACATCAACTTGCATACTCGAAGGATTTGAAGATTTCAATTTACATACTTGGAGGATTTGAACACTTCAACTTGCAAACTTGAAGAATTTAAAGACTTCAACTTGCATACTTGGAGGATTTGAAGACTTCTACTTGCATACTTGAAGAATTTGAAGACTTCAACTTGCATACTTTAATGATTTGAATACTTCAACTTGCATACTTAGAGGATTCAAATACATGAACTTGCAAACTCGAAGAATTTAAAGACTTCAACTTGCATACTTGGCTAAATTTAAAGACTTCAAGCATACTGTTAAAGAAGATCATATTTTATAAGGGTTTGCCCCCTCCATTTACCCATCAATACTTAGTGCAAGTTTAAAGTTTTGATGAAATAAAATAAAAATAAAATACTTATCGCCTTAACTTTCATGTGGAGGATCAAGCGGGAACATGTGGTTGTTTTACACTCATGCAACTGAACTTAGAATATATTCTAAGCGCCTACGTACCTCAATGAAGAGGATCAAGTCACAACGTAGTTCTGGGAGAGTGTTTTTTTGGTGTGCCATACACAATTTATACTTGCGGGCCAAGAGTTACATGCAGTTTAGGCTCGTGCCTTAAGGAGCATCATCTTATTTTAAGAGTAGTACCTCTTCAGGAATTTTGCATTAATAGGACCAATCCTTACGCCATCTGCGTCAAGAAGCTTGTAAGCACCATTTGAATATGCTTCTTGTATGACATATGGTGTATCCCACTTTGAGGTAAATTTTCCCCCAGACTTATTCGAAGTAATGATGGGTCTTGTTACCGCGAGAACTTGGTCTCCAACATGGAAGCACCTCAAGCGAACCTTCTTATTGAAAGCACGAGATAGACGAGCTTGATAAAATTCATTGATTTTTTGAGCATCTAGCCTCTTTTCATCAAGTGCTTCTAACTCTGCAAGACGTAGTCAGGCATTTTGTTCTTTAGTGAGCCCTTCTTGAATAGCAAGTCTTAAGGAAGGTATTTGACGCTCAAGTGCTAAGACTACTTCAACACCAAAAGGAAGTGAATATGGTGTTGCTTACATCTTGCATTTTCTTCTTCAGTGAGCCCTTCTTGAATAGCAAGTCTTAAGGAAGGTATTTGACGCTCAAGTGGTAAGACTACTTCAACACCAAAAGGAAGTGAATATGGTGTTGCTTTAGTTGGTGTGCAGTATGTTGTATTATATGCCCACAAAGCTTCTTCCATTTTTTCATGCCAATCTTGTTTGGACTTGGAGACAACGTCCTTGAGCAGATTGAATAGAGTCTTATTGAATGCTTCAACAAGACCATTGGCGGCAGCATTCTACATAGAAGATTTACGCTGCTTGAAACCAAAGAGATCACAAATCTTGTTCATTATCTTGTTGTCAAATGTCTTTCCATTGTCTGTTATTTTGTAGCGAGGGATGCCATAACAGTAGATGATATTCACTCGAATGAAATTTGCAACATTCTCTTACTTCACTTCTTTAAGAGCAATAACTTAAGCCCATTTTCAGAAGTAATTTGTCGCAACCAAGCTGTACAAGTGTCCACCAGAAAATTTTGGTAGTGGTCCTACAAAATCCAACCCCCAAGTGTGAAATGGACAAGATGCAATAGTTGGGTGTAATACTTTGGGCGGCTGATGTATGAAATTTGCATGAAATTGGCAAGCATTGCACGTATGAGCATAATCTAAGCAATCCTTCACCATGGTTGGCAAAAAATACCCCATTCTCTTTATGTGAAAGTGGAGCTTCGGTCCAGAATGATGTGATCCATATACTCCTGAGTGTGCTTCTTACAGATCTTGGTTTGCTTCTTCCTTTCCCAAACATCAATAATCTTTGGTATAATGCGTCCTTGTAGTAAAGGAAATGAGGTGCACGACAATGAATGTCACATACTCCTGAGTGTGCTTCTTGCAGATCTTGGATTGCTTCTTCCTTTCCCAAACATCAATGATCTTCGGTATAATGTGTCCTTGTAGTAAAGGAAACGAGGTGCACGACGACGAATGTCAGTCCTTCTCCTTGGATTTTCCGGAAGTATCCCATAACACATATAGTCAATAATGGGTTTCTCCAATCTTCCTTTGCGACCTTAGAAATGGCGACGAGATGCTCAAGTTCATCTTTTGCATATTCGTCCTCATTCGGTGGTGGTACTATCCATTTTTGACAAATAGTAACTTGTGTTTGATCAGAAAGGGCTAGCATTGAAGCCAGGGCATCCAACGCATCAACTTTCTTATTTTCCGTTCTACGTACATGTTGAAGGGTTATGTCTTCAAGCCATCCTATCAGCTTTTGAGAATATTAATGATATGGGCGGAATTCAAACTTTTTCACCTCATAACTTCCCAAGAGTTGATTGATCACCAACTGAGATTCACAAAAAACTTGTAAGTGTAATTGCTTCATGTCGACGGCCATTTCAAGTCCAAGTATCAACGCTTGGTATTCAACGACATGATTGGATCAACATTGCTTCAAAGTAAAAGGGAATGGTAGTATCTTTTCTTGTGAAGTGATGAATACCACGCCAGCGCTAGCTCCACCACGATGTGTAACCCCATCAAAGTACATTTTCCAAGGAGGTTAAATCTCAATAGACATCACATTTTCATTAGGAAGCTCACCAGTTAACTCCTAATCATCTGGTATCGGATGGTCTGCCAATAAATCTACTACTGCTTGTCCCTTCACAACTTTTTGAGGGATGTACACAATCTCAAACTGTTGGAATTGGAGGTACCATTTTCCTAGTCGGTCACTAAGGAAAGGTTTCGACATAACAAACTTGATGGGATTTGGTCTAGAAATAAGGGGGAACAACATGAGCTTGAAAATAATCCTTCATCTTTTGAATTGAGAGTACAAGCGCCAGGCACAATTTTTCAATTGGCAAATAGTTCAGCTCATTTGGCGTCATCGTTCTGCTTAAGTAATAAAGAGATTTTTCTTTGCCTTCACTATTCTTTTAAGCTAATAGGGCTCTTACAGACCTTTCTTGTGCCGCTATGTAGAGTATCAATGGCTTTTCAGGTATAGGGGCTGCCAAAACTGGAGGTTTCACTAGATATGATTTGATATTTTTAAAGGCATCACTACATGTTTGGTCTCAATTAAAAGGAGAACATTTCTTCTTTAGAGGGACGAATGGGTGGCATCTTCCCCGCTAGATTTGAGATGAACCTCCTCAAGTTGACTAGCTTTCCTTAGAGACTTTTTAACTCGTGAATATTTTGAGGTTCGGGCATCTTCGAAATTGCATCAACATTGGCTTGATTAATTTCAATTTCTCGATGTCTCACAATAAAGTCAAGGAACTTGCTAGAAGTAACTTCGAAGGCATATTTCAATGGATTCATCCTGAATTGATATCTTCGGAGCAACCCAAACACCATTCTTAAGTCTTTCAAATGATCACCCCTTTTTCTCGACTCTACCACCAAGTCATCAACATAGCATTCAACACTTTTATGGAGCTACTCATCAGATATAGTTTTCATAGCCCTTTGATATGTGAAACCAACATTCTTTAAACCAAATGAAATCAATTTGTAGCAATAAATACCTTTATGTGTGTGAAATGCGGTGAGTTTTTCATCTTTTGGTGCCATGCGAATTTGAGTATAGCTGGAAGAACCATCCATGAAAGACATCACCTCATAACCAGTGGTGGCATCGATCATCAGCTCCGAAATGGGAAGAGGGAACTCATTTTTAAGGTATGCATTATTTAGATCTCCAAAGTCAACACAAACTCGAATTTGACCATTCTTCTTCCTCACATGAACAATACTTGAAATCTATGTAGGATATTTGATCTCACTAATAAAGCCTGCTTCAATGAGTTTTTTAACTTCATTTTCTATCAATGGAACCAAGGCTGGCCTAAAATGTCTTTGAGCTTACTAACCAGAACAAGAACCATTTTTGAATTCCAATTGATGGACCGCTACTTTATGATTCAAACCATACATGTCTTCATAAATCCAAGCGAAGAAAACCCTATATTCTTAGAGTATATTCATATAGTCAATTTCTTCATCAACTTCTAGAAAGGCAGTCAAGTAAGTTGGCCTTGGGTCTTCATCAATGCCAAGGTTAACATCATTTAAAGGATCTATTGTGGTCTTCACTCCTTCTTCAAGTTCTAGTGAAGCATCTCCAGAATCTTCCTCTTCTAGAGGGTCATGGTCATTGACAAATATATGACAACAACAGATGATATCTTCCAATTCTTCATCGATCTTTATTTTAGGCAAGACATCGTGCTAATTCTGGATCATAACATGATATGAGGAGCCTACACTTTCTTTACAGGAACAATACTTGAAATCCATATAGGATATTTGACCTCACGGATAAAGCCTGCCTCAATGAGTTTGTTAGATTCATTTTCTATCAATGGAACCAGGTCTGGCCTAAAACGTCTTTAAGCTTGCTTAACAGGACGAGAACCATTTTTTACTGCAAACTGATAGACTACTACTTTAGGATTCAAGCCAGGCATTTCTTTATAAATCTAAGCGAAGACATACCTATATTCTTTGAGTATATTCATATAAGTGATATCTTCATCAACTTCTAGAAAGGCACTCAAGTAAGTTGGCCTTGGGTCTTCATCAATGCCAAGGTTAACTTACTATAAAGGATATATTGTGGTCTTCACTCCTTCTTCAAGTTCTGGTGGAGCATCTCCAGCATCTTCCTCTTCTACAGGGTCATTGTCATTGACAGATATATGACAACAACACACAATATCTTCCAACTTTTCATCGATCTTCATTTTAGGTAATGCATCGTGCTCATTCTAGATCATAACATGATATGAGGAGCCTACACTTTCTTCATCTTTCTCACGCTCCTTGATGTAAACTACAGTGTGAGCTTTTGCCTTGAGTTCCTCTTTACAAGAAACCACAAGTTCCACTCATCGCCTCAATCTAGAAGGAATCAAACATTTGAAATCCTTCTAGATAATAGGTGAAGCAAGCGTTGTCACTTTTAGATAACTTCTCAGGTTCTTGTTATTCTTCTTATTCAATGGACCTAACCTCTCAAACACAAAAGTTCTTGCAGTCGATTCTCTAAGTCTATCAAAGACGGATGGCTTTTTTGTTGGGAGTAGTGACATCATCTTCAAAAGTTATATGGCTATTTCTTGCCCTTCTTATGGAAATATGAATTGGCAGCGGTTGGCTATAGCCTAGGCCTTCACGTGCTTGCCTAGTTGTATCTTCTGATGGGAGTTTTTCTAACATTGATGGCTCATTAGGTTTGTATCCAGCCTTAACAAATAACTTGTAAGCATTGGGATCAAAACCTTCGTTTGTGCATTTTGTAAGGAGTGCCACATCTCGCACTTAATTTTGAGCAATTGACTTTCCTGGCAGATTCAAAGACAAGATTATTGCATCGATCCGTCTAATAGGATGAGTTAGTCCTCTCAATGCATTTTGTTTAAGGTTAGATGATTGACATTCTTCTTTCTCCACTTTTGGAACATAGCGAAGTCCAAAAATCTGCTTCTTCTTCGAATACATGATCTTCCCTTCATGAAGAATGGGACAAGGTTCTTTAGTGTCATCTTTACTTTTTTGATAGCCACATGGATTCTTTTGCTTATGATCTTATCAGACTTGATTGATTTGAATCATTACATTTTGTCCATTTAACAACATGACTCTTCAAATAGAATTTTGCATTGGCAAAGTGTGTCTCAACTTCGGTGAAAGGATTATCATCTGCAACTATCTTCCTTTCAATCCCGCCTTCAAGATACTTAAAACATTGATTGTAAGAAGATGAGACAATTCTATTATCATGTACCCAAGGCCTGCCAAGTAATATATTATATGAAGACTTTGCGTTGATCACATGTATCCATGTGCTTGATCACAAATCTTCCATGTGGATTTGTAATTTAATAGAGCCTATGGACCTCTGCCCCCCTTGATTAAATCTTTGTATCAACAAACGACTTTCACTAAGTTCTTTAGTCGTGATATCGAGTTCCTTGAATGTGTGGATAGGCAGAATGTTAACTCCATATCCTTCATTTATTAAGATTTTATATATATTTTTCTCTAGCACATGACCCACCATATAAAAAGGACAGTTGTGTAGTGTTTCACCAAATAGAAGATCATTATCTGTAAATGTGATTTTTGTATCACATGCATGTGCTTCTTGGGAAGAATGTTCAATAGGTTTTTCAGAAGATGAAGGAGACTTCATTGACGAGATTTCCCTTGTTGCTTTTTCTTCATCACTAGGAGACACTTTTGGTGAGAATTCACTCGTTGTTCCTTCTATGTCAGTAGGAAGCACCTTCATTGTTTCTTCTTTTTCAGCAATGAAACATGATGCCTCGACATTGTCTTGAGTAGACTTCGTACAAAATGAACTTGGTAAGAATTCCTCTAGAGTCACAGGACGTCGGGGTTTCTGATAAGGATGCACTTCTACCTTTGCCCTCTTTGGGTGCTTGATTGATTTTTGTTTCTCCAATTTCCTCACCATTTTTCTTCTAATTGGTTGCTCGGATGATTATTTTTGTAAGCTTGACTTGTTGCGTCTTTGCCTAGTCACAAGAATCCAACCTTCATGCTTTTTAGAGATATATATTTGGACCGGATCGAGCTAGCGGAATGTGATAGAGATCTGGTTAGAACTAGCTTTCTCATCATCAAGGACAATTTCTTTTCGTTAACCAATTGCATCACTCTATCCTTGAAGACAATATTTTTCAAGAGGATGACTCACAAGTTTGTGATACTTACAATAATTTGGGTCATTAGCTTTTCCAACTTCATCAGGTCACTTCATCTCTAGTAACTCATCAAAAATCTCAGAAACATCAGAATCCAAGAAGGGATATTTTTTTCCTTGTATCTCCTTTAGTGTCGATTTTTTATTCAAACGTGCTTGGAAATTCGTTTTCACACTTTCCTTCATGTCTTCCTTCATAGTGAACTTCACAGGTGACATATTAACATTCATAGATTATTTGTTGTCATTCCTGGGCACAAATTTGCTCCATCTTTTTGTTTCCTGCTTGTCTCTTCCATTGCGAGGATCATGGAAAAAGGTTACATCTTTTCCAGCAAAGGACATGCTCAACTCCATATCATGACCACAAGTACTTAAATCTTTGAAGGATTTTGGTTTTATTCCTTGTATGATGTAAAGAAGCTCCCAGTGCATTCCTTGGATACACATCTCTATTGAAGAAGCTTCACTAAGCCTATCCTTGAAATTTAAGCTCGCGTTCCTCCATCTATTTATGAAATCTATAACCGTCTAATCCTTCCTATAGTGAGTATTCGTGAGTTCTACCATCCTCACTGTACACCTTGTACTATAAAAGTAATTGTGAAACTCGTGCTCTAGTTTCTCCCTACTATCAACAGAATTAGGCTCGAGATCCATGTACCAATCAAAGGCATTTCCTTTTACAGAGCGGACGAACTTCTTGACAAGATGGTATAGGTTACAACATTATTACAGTCTCCATAAAGTGTGCAACATGTTGCTTCGGATATCCTTTGCCCTCAAATTGTTGAAATTTGGGAGGTTGCATAATCAACACGCATTTTGAAGTTATCAATTCTTGTAGTGTATGGCTTGTCATACATAAGAGAAGACTTGGTGGAGACTTCATACTTATCTTTAATTGTTCCTTCAAAGAACTTCTTCAAGAGATCGAGTGGGATCATTCCTCTAGAGGAAATTGGTATCTCATTAACAAGTGGTGTTTTCTTAGCAGAATTTTCGATCTCTTGGACTTCAACACCATTTCTAGGCGCATGACTCGCATCTTCATCTAAAATTCCTTCCATCCGATCTATCAACTTATCGATTCGAGACTCTTGGTGTTCTACATGCTTTGTCAATCCTTCAACCAACTTTGTCAGATTTAAAAGTTGTTCCTCAGGGGATGAAGCAGCAGTCACCACCATTTGCATGATCATTGGAGATGTAAGAGAGTAGCATGGATTGTCTCGTAAGTTGATCTTCAGCAAACTCATGTTACACGATGCATGTGGAGATGATTCATTGGTTGAATCATAGTTCTCCCTTGTGGTAGAGTTCTTGCAACCAGATTGCTCAAGTAGAGTCAATGTCTTCTTGATCTTGTTAGCAAGACTGTTTCCTCCGTATAAAGCATTTGTGGAAAAACTTGCTCCTTTTAGAGTCGAAGACCCAAAAATAGAAGTTGATGCGGACGACACTTGAAGTATTTTTTGTCCTAGTCTAGCAGCCTTGCTCCTCGTAACAGCTCTGAATCTTCCAAAGGTAACCCCAAGAATTCCTTCAACTTCAGTAGAGAACTTGGAGGCAGTGGCCTTAAGGAAGTTGATTAGGAGTTGATCTTCATGGAATTCATCTCCATATTCTTTGATACTTGAATAGTGAGATGAAATGTCACGACCTAGAGGTACACCCTACATGTAACATGGCGTATAGGACCTCCAGAGGCCCCATACAAGCCACTTAACATTCATGACATAACAAATAGAACCAAAAGAGAAAGAAATACATTTCAAGTCCAAAAAAGTTTTTATAAGAGTAAAGTGGAAGTCTAAGCACTGTCTCAATAGAAATCTAATACAATAGAATGAAACTGGGCCTATCCCATACATCATGTCAAAAATTGAAAGTAAGACAGAAACTAAAAATAATGAGAATCCGTCCTCTAAACATGATGACTCACCAAAGCACGGAAATCTCTCAAATCAACCTCTAGCCACGAAACTGAGAACCCTGATTGTCAAACCCTACATTTGGGGATATATAGGCAACAGTTTGCATTAGTACAAAACAATGTACCAAGTATGATATACATGCATAAAACATTTAAATCATGCTAAAAGGGGACATTTTCATAAGTATGCAATGATCATGCTAAAACATGTATTTTGAGAG